ATCGCTCCTTAGAAACCTCAGGTCTGACTCAGTAATACATGACCTTCAAAGTCCAACGCTTTCCTAATTTTTTTTTTCTAATTTCCATGTACTTACACTCTCAGGACCTCCACTCTTCTCAGGTTCCTTCGTCTTCCCTGCAAAATCTGTCAACCTAGACATAGACTTAAGTACCACCCTCTAATTATCTCCTAGGGAATCCAGTTTTTAAAAAAGCCTCAGAAAGCCTTATGGACTTTATTAAAGACTCTTTAAGATAACCCATAGGAGATAGCAGTACACCCACAGATATCTATTTAATACACCGTCAGAGTAATTTTTTTTCTTTTTTATAAAGTCTCTTCTGTCCAATGAAGACTCTCAGCTCTTCGTCTTCAACATATGCAGTGTCTCACCCTTCTGATTACTCTCTGCTCTATCCCAGGGCCACTCCCTTTCCTGATATTACATTCTTTCCCCATTTTGTATGTGAGTAAAATAAAATAACATAAAATATAACATGTTAATTATTATAAAGTGGACCGTTCAGTGATATTAAATACATTCATATTGTTGGGTGATGAACATCACGATTTATCTTTCTAATTCTTTTCTACGTTTTAAAACTGTAACGCTATATCCTTTACAAATAACCTTCCTTTCTGCTCCATAACCACCTGAGAAGCATCATTACCCTCCCAATTTCTATGGTTTTGACTACACTAAGTACCCCATATAATTCAACTAAGTAGTTGTATTGTTATGACTCACTAAAAGTCAGAAAAATGGCATTTTGGTAGCTAAATTTCCTCAAGATTCATCCATGTTGTACCATATTCCTAGATCTTTTCCTTCTTAACACTGAATAATATTGTATTATATGGGTATACCACACTTTCCCTATCCAGGAACTAGTGGATGAACACTTAGGTTGCTTTCATATTTTAGCTACTGTGATTATTAGTGCTCTAAACACTGGAGTACAAATACTTCTTTAAGACCCTGATTTCAATTCCTTTGGGTATACCTCATAGTAAAATTCCTGGATCATGTAGTAATTCTATTTTTCAATATCTGAAACATTGCCATACTCTTTTGCAAAGCAGCTGTATCATTCTACATTCCCACTGACATAGCACGATGCTTCCAACTCCCTCACATCCTCACCAATACTTGTTTTCTGCTTGTGTATGTGTGTGTGTGCCTGTGTGTGTATGCATGCACACAAATATATAAACATGCATTTAGTGATATGGACCATCTATTCAAGTGCTCAGTCATTTGTACATCTTTTTTTTTTTTTTTTTTTGCGGTACGCGGGCCTCTCACTGCTGTGGCTTCTCCCGTTGCGGAGCACAGGCTCTGGACGCGCAGGCTCAGCGGCCATGGTTCACAGGCCCAGCCGCTCAGCGGCATGTGGGATCTTCCCGGACTGGGGCACCAACCCATGTCCTCTGCATTGGCAGGTGGACTCTCAACCACTGCGCCACCAGGGAAGCCCTGTACATCTTCTTGAAGAACCATCTATTCAAGTCTTTTATCCATGTTTGAATCAGGGTGTTTGCTTTTTGTTGAGTTGTAGGAGTTCTCTGTATATCCTGAATAGAAATCTCTTGTCAGATAGATGGCTTTCAAATATTTTCTCCCACCTTGTGGGTTGCCATTTTATTCTGTTTACATTTCTTTGATACACATTTTTTTAAATTATGTACTGCAAATTGTTTATTTTTTTGTTAGCTGTACCTTTGTTGTTCCTTCGTTTCATATTGAGGAAAACACTGCCAAATCCAATGTCATGAAGCTGTTGTCCTGTGTCTTCTTCTAAGACTTTTTATTTTATTAGGTCTTATATTTAGTTTCTTGATACGTTTTCATTAATTTTTGCATATGATGTTAGGTAAGGGTCCATCTTCCTTCTTTTGCATGTTGACAACAATACTTCTCAGCACCATTTGTTGAAAATACTATCCTTTCTACTTTGAAAAGTCTTGGCAACTTGTCAAAAATCATTTGGCCATATATCAGGGTTTATTTCTGGGTGTTCTATTCTATTCTATTGGTCTTGAATAAGAGAGAAAATAGTATAACCTGTCCAGGTTGATGAAGAACATAAAGAAAAGACCAGGACTGAGAACTAGGAGGGAAATATAAAACAGCAGGGAGTAACAGACTGTGTGAGAGAAGATCTTGTATTTGCAAGTTCATGGAAATATGATCATGTTAAACCACTAAACGCCTGACTTTGAACAATACGGTAAATGTGCTAGCAAGAAACATAACACTTACCCATCTCTGGGAAATATAGTATGGGCATAAAGATAAACTACACACAAATACATTAAAAAGGGAAGGGTTTTCATGGTGTGAGAATATTGTGGGATTTGAAATACAATTTACTTCTGTTCTACCATTCTCTCTAAAATTTATCAAAGTGTATATACAAGCAATTCCAATTCTGGTAATGTGCTTGACAGGTTTATATATGAACTTCAGCAGACCAGTACATGTACATTCGTAGTAGGACTGTTCCCTAATCCAAAAAACAACACACAAAAACGGGAAAGACTAGAGGTCACTTCTTCAACACACATACAGATGCAGTGATGGTTAACGGTCCAAAAACAGAAGGTGAGCATGGGTGCAAGAGGTTAATCCCCAGGCTGGGGTGGGGTGCAGAGTTTGAGGGTAACACAGGTAGAAAAGGCTTTTGTCCTATCCTTGATTTTTGAGGTATTGAAATTCACAGGTCACTACCTTCATTTCAAAATAAATGAATGCACCATTAAATTTTTTAAAACAGGAGAAGTAAACATGAGTGATAATAAATTTCAAACTGTCGCTAATCAAATAAGATACTAAGAAAAATTAAATAATATGATTTAAGAATGAAGTGGAGAGATTGTCCAAGATGGTAGCATTCAAAGACCCAGAGCTTGATGCCTCTCATGGGCACACCAAAGTCACAACTCTTTACAGAACAGCAATTGATGAAAAAGGCCTGGACCTACCATAAAAGATGTTTTAGAGCTAAAGATATAAGGAAGGCACCTCGGCAAGACAGGAAGGAAGGGCAAAATCTCAACAGAGTCAAGACCCATACCACCAGGTGGGTGGCCCACAAATGGGAGAATAATTACAATTTCTGAGGTGCTCCCAGGTACCAAGGGGTATGAACCCAACATCAGGCTCCCAAGCCCAGGGATCCTGGGCTGGAAAGAAGAGTTCCTAGAAAGTTGGGCTTTGAAGACCAGTAGTGCTTATTTTCCAGAGAGCCAGAGGGTTGTGGGAAATAGAGATTCCACACTTAAAAGATGCTCACAGGGCTTCCCTGGTGGCGCAGTGGTTGAGAGTCCGCCTGCCGATGCAGGGGACACGGGTTCGTGTCCCGGTCCGGGAGGATCCCACATGCCGTGGGGCGGCTGGGCCCGTGAGCCACGGCCGCTGAGCCTGCACGTCCGCAGCCTGTGCTCCGCAACATGAGAGGCCCGCGTACCGCAAAAAAAAAAAAAAAAATGCTTACAAAATCCCACATGACCCAAGAATCGGAACAGAAGCAGTCATTTGAAAGGATCCTGGGTCACACCTACCTCCTGATCTTGGAGAGTCTCCCAGAGAGGCAAGAGGCAACTACAGCACAGCCTCAGGGACATAGACACTGGCAGCAGACACTTGGGGGAGCTCCTTCTACCTCGTGGCCACTGGTACCAGCAAGCATAATTTCAGAATCCTCCCTCTATCTTTTTAGACTCAGGACCTAGCCCTACCCATTTCCACAAGACTACAGACACAAGTACTAGGATGCTGCAGGCCAAGCAACTAATTGAGCATGGGCATAGCCCCACCCACCAGCAAACAGCCTGCCTTCAGACCCTCTCAATGCACAGCTGCCCCTGGACATGCGCCCAGCCACCAAAAGCCCCAGGACAAGCCTCCACACCTCAGTGGACAGGCACCAGCCCCAGAGTCCCTGGCTCCTCTGACAAGTGAGCCTGCTCTGGCCTTGGAATCAGCCTCACCGTCAGCAGGTGATTACTGCACAGGGACTGGATGGAGCTTGGACCTACCCAACAGCAAACCTGCTCTAGCAGTGGGATCAGCCTCATACACCAACAGGCACACATCAGCTCCAGGAATACCACAGCCCAGCAGCCTGTGTGACCAGAACACTCACCTGCAGGCCAGAAGCAGCCATGGACTCAGCTGGGTCCTGACCCTGCCCATCAGAATGCCAACACAAGATTAGGGATACCCCAGACCCTGCAGAGAGCTGTGCCAGGAACAGTGATCCAACACCAACTCTGCGACTCCTGGGCCCCGAAGCCAGAACTCAGGACCTGTGTCTTCCTCCCAGTGGCCAGCATAGCCCCGGGACCAGCGACTGGGCACTAGCCCTGATAGCACCTGGACTGCAATTCTACCCATAAGTGAACCAGCACTAGATCTGGTGTCCCCCAGAGTTGTGCAGCCAGCTGCCTTATGATGTAGCCTCACCAAGCAGCACAGACAGCCTCCATACAACGCAGAGTCTGGCAAACAAGCACTCGGGGGGCAGCCAAGCCTACCAGACCACTCACAGTAGTCAGCCCTCCACAACAGAAGAGCCCAAGCAGCCCACATAGGGGGTACACCTAGAACATATAGTTCTAGTGACCAGGGGACAGTGGGCTGCTGGGACACATAGGACCTCTCCTACAAAAGGCCACTTCTCCAAGGTCAGGAAGTGTAATGAACCTACTACATACATAGCAATAAAAACAGCAAGTTAAGAAAAACGAGGTGACACAGAAACACAATCCAAATGAAGGAACAAGATAAGAACTCAGAAGAAGATCTAAGTGAAGTGGAGATAGCCCATCTCCTCAACAAAGAGTTCAAGGTAATGACTATAAAGTTGATCAAAGAACTCAGGAGAAGAATGGACGACCAGAGCAAGAAGTGAGAATTTTTTTTAAAAAAGAGTTAGACCATTAAAGAACAACAAAACAGAGATGAGGAATACAATAACTGAAATGAAAAATACACAAAAGGAAACTACTGTAGACTAAATGATACAGAGGAATGAATCAGAAACCTGAAGGACAGAGTACAGTCAATCACTGAAGATGAACGGTAAAACAACAGATTAAAATGAAATGAGGAAAGTTGAACAGACTTGTGAAACAACATCAAGTGTACTAATATTTGCCTTATACTGGTCCCAGAAGCAAAAAGGAAAGAGAAAGCAGTGTAGAACATACCTGAAGACATAAGAGCTGAAAACGTCCATAACCTGGGAAAGAAAACAGACATCCAAGTCCAGTAAACACAGTAAGGCCAAAACAGGATCAACCCAAAGAGGACCACACCAAGGCTCATTGTAATTAAAATGGCAAAGAAATAAAGATAAAAAGACACTATTAAAAGGAGCAAAGGAAAAGCAACAAGTTACAAACATGGGAACTTGCAGAAAGTTATCAGCTCACTTTTCAGGATAACCTCTGCATGCCAGAAGGGAGTGGCATGGTATATTTAAAGTCATGAAAGGGAAAAGCCTATAACCAAAAATACTCTACCCAGCAAGGCTCTCCTTCACATTTGATGGTGAGATCTAAAGTTTTACAGAGAAGCAAAACCAAAAGAGCTCAGCATCGCCAAACCAGCTTTATGAGAAATCTTAAAGGGGCTTTTCTCAGTGAAAAAGAAAAGGACACGACTGAAACATAAAAATTAGGAAAGAAAACTTACTAAAGGAAAAACCTCATTGGATAAGGCAAATATTCAACAAAGGCAGTAAATCAACCATGTACACAGCTAATACGAAGGATGAAAGAAAACAATAATAAAATCATCTATATTCACAATACGAAGTTAAGGGACACACAAAACAAGTAGATGTAAAATATAAGGTCAAATTCAGTAACTGTGGGCGAGCAGACTAACAATGCAGGGTTGTTAGTGTCCATGTGAAATTAAGAGCTCAGCAACTTAAATAATCACACACACACACACACACACACACACACACACACACACAACTGAAAGAAATCCAAACATAATATTAAAGCTAGTCCTCACATCACAGATGAAGGGAATAAAAGGGGAAGAAAGGAACACTGAAGAAATTAAAGAGGGATGCTAAAAATACCCAAGACAAATGAAAATGAACACACAGTGATCCAAAATCTATGGGACACAGCCAACGCAGTTCACAGGGGGAAGTTATAGTGATACAAGCTTATTCTTAGGAAACAAGAAAAATATCAAATACACAACCTAACATTACACCTGAAGGAATTAGAAAAAGAAGAAAAAACAAAACTCAAAGCTGTCAGAAACAAAAAAATTAAGAAAACAATACCATATGCAATCACACCAAAAAGAATAAGATACCTAGGAACAAACACACCTAAGCAGGTAAAAGACATGTACTCAGAAATCTATCAGCCATTGGTGAAAGAAGTTGAAGGCAACAGAAAAAGATGGGAAAATATAGCAGGTGCATGGACTGGAAGAATTAATACTGTTAAAATAACCACACTACCAAAGACAATCTACAGATTTAATGCAATCCCTATCAGAATACCAAAACATTTTCACAGAACTTGAAAAAGTAAATTTAAAATTTGTATAGAAACACAAAGACCCCAAATAGCCAAACAGTCTTGAGAAAGAACAGAGCTGGAGGCATCACGCACCTTGACTTCAGATTATACTGCAAAGCCACAGTCATCAAAGAGCATCGGTCCGGAGCAAAAACAGACACAAAGATCACTGGAACAGAATAGAGAGCCCAGAAATAAGCCCACACACTTATATTTAATTGATTTATGACAAAACAGGCAATATGGAGAAAAAACTGTCTCTTCAATAAGTGGTACTGGGAAAACTGGTCAGCTACATGGAAAAGAATAAAATTAGAGTATTTTAGCACACCATATATAAAATAAATGCAAAACTGAGTAAAGACCTAAAGGTAGGGCCATAAAACCCCCAGAGGAAAATACAGAACATTCTTCAACATAAATTATAGCAACAGTTTTGGGTTCAGTCTACTAAGGCAAATGAAACAAAAGCAAAAATAAACAAATGGGACTTCACTAAACTTAAAAGATTTTGCACAGCAAAGTAAACCAGAGACAAAATGAAAAGACAACCTGCTGAAGGAGAGACAATATTTGCACATGGTAAGAGGTTAACACCAAAAAGTTGACCAAGCAAGGGTTCATGTCTAAACTACAGAAACGGCACATACAACTCAATATCAGAACAACACCCAAAATCTTTTTTTAAAAAATGAGAAGACTTAAATAGACATTTTTCCAAGGAAAAAAATAAAGATAGACAGCCAGAACTCAGAAAGATGCTAAACATAGCTAGTCGGCAATAAAATGCAAATCAAAACTATGAGATATATCACCTCAGTCTTGTCAGAATGGCTGTCATCAAAAAGGTCACAAATAACAAAGGTTAGTGAGGATGTGGAGAAAGGGAAACTCTTGTACACTCTTGATGTGAATGTGAAGTAGTGCAGCTACTGTGGAAAGCAGAATGGAGGTTCCACAAAAAACTAAAAATAGAACTACCATAATATCCAGCAATTTCACTCTTGCGTATATCAGAAGAAAACAAAAACACTATTTAAAAAAAACAACTGCACACCAATGTTCATAACAGTGTCATCTGCCATAGCCAAGATATAGAGTCAAACTAAGTGTTCGTCAATAGGTTAGGGGATAAAAAATATTTTTTATGATGACTTCAGCAAAAAATGAAATTTTGCCATTTGCAAGAACATGGATGGACTTGGAGGATATTATGCTTAGTAAAATAAGCCACAGAGAAAACAAGCCTGGTAGGTTATCACTTACACGTGGCATCTAAAAAATTGAATACAACAACAACAAAACAGACTCACAGATTAAAGAACAGACTAGTGGTTACCAGCAGGGAGAGACAGGGTGGAGGGGCAAAATAGTGGTAGGAGATTCTGAGGAATAATCCACTATGTATAAAATCGATAATCTACAGTGACGTACTGTATAGCATGGGGAATAGAGCCACTCTTTTATAATAAGTATAAATGGAGAACAACCTAAACATTTATGAATCACTATGTTGTACCTCTGAAACTAATATAAAAATGCAAATTAACTATAGATCAATAAAATAAAGTAAGAAACAATAAAGGTGAGACAGATTATTAGATAGGAATCAATTAAATAAACACAAGTTTTGGAAATCAAGGAATTAAAAAACAACGTGTAAGACACAACATTGGCATTTAAACTGTATGATCTATTCATTTAAAAGAAATCATTTAAGTGGTGAAAAATGGTACCCATTCTCACAATTTTATATATCTAGGATAAATTATTATCTACAAAAATATGTTACAAATATTCACTCAAAAAGAAAGAGAAAATTTGCATTAACCCATTTTAGTATACAAATTTAATATCAAAGTCTCTATGTAACATTGACTTGAATAAGTTCTGTTAGACACTTCTAGTTTCTTTGTGATGTAAAATCTTTTAAAGCATAAAAATCAGCCTTTCTATATTATTCCATTAGACCTACATGGAAGTTAAAAGAAATGAGAAGACAGAACAATCAAACGGGAGGGTGAATTTACTGAGAAACAGTCATTCGTTCTCCCTCCTCCTTTTCTTTTCCTCCTTTTCCACGTCTCTTTCGGTTCCAATCAAGAGAAGTCTTGAGAATTCTGAGAATATTTCTATGAGGGCTTCAAATCACCATACCTACATCCTCTGCCACAACTACACACACGGGAACAAAAATAAACCTCTGCTATCTCCTCATGTAGGAGGGATTCATGCAAAATAAACTCCTACATGGAGACCAACAGGTGAGTTTTCTACCTGTTCTTTATAATGACCTTCCATTATAGTAAATCCCACACATTATGAGGCAGAAGGGGTTATGTGAGCTCTTCCTTGAAGTCAAAAACTTGCATTCATTTCAAGTACCTGGTGATCATAGGGTACAGCCAGGGAAGGTGCCATCCCCCTTGGGGGGAGGGTCGGTGAATGGGCTCCCACAACCATGCACCGCCTGATGTACAGATTCTGGAGAAACAAAGGGCGGTCACACCGCAGTCAGCCTGTCAGGCTGTCGGGCCACTGGGCAACCCCACCAGCCTGGAAGTGCCCCACCAGTTGCTGAAAGCAAAACTCTGTCCCCCCTGTGAAGCCAGGCAATCTGGGCCAGAGAGTCACAGGAGACCGGTAATCGACTCCTCCTCTCTGCTCACCTCCTTGGGGTTACAGCAACCCCATCTCCAAACCCAACTCTGATCCTGGAGTGCCAAAGTGGGAGTGCAGGTGGGCTCTACCGGTGCTTCAGCACCCTCTGGGAAGCCCCCTAGTTTGAATATGATTTGAGTTTGATCCTGTGAAACCATCAGAACTTCGCACCAGAGATAAATGAGGAGATTCTGGCCTTTATTAGTATGCACGGTGAACACGGTTGTCCTGGCTGTACTTGCCAACCCTCCTATTTTGCCCGCCTATTTTTATCCACCTTCCTCCCTGTGAGTACCTTTGACCAACCCTGAGCTCAGACTCCTGACCTATTACAGTGACTTTGTCAGTCTTTCTTTAAAAATGGACAGGTAGGGCTTTCCTGGTGGCGCAGTGGTTGAGAGTCCGCCCGCAACGTGGGGGACACGGGTTCGTGCCCCGGTCCGGGAGGATCCTACATGCCGCGGAGCAGCTAGGACCGTGAGCCATGGCCGCTGAGCCTGGGCTCCGCAACGGGAGAGACCACAACAGTGAGAGGCCCGCGTACGGCAGAAACAAAAACAAAAACAAACACCAAAACAAAACGAAAGAAAAAAAAAACGACAGGTAATAAAATGAATTTAAACTAGAAGCAGCAGCTCAGTAAGGGAAATAAAATCATCAGAAGTTATCTAATCGCAGCCACAGCCATCCAGGGCTCTGTCTTATCGGCTGGGGCACAAGAATGGGACCTTCCTAAACTTGAAGGGCATCCAATCAAATAAGTAAAGGTGTCGCTCACCTCTGGCTCTTGGAGGGATTACTAGGCAGTCTACCCAGTGTATACTAACTGCAAAACACTGTCATGGTTTTGAAACACGTGTGTTCCAGGAAAGCTTTTTGGAGTGCATGCGGAAGGTTTCTACATCAAGCAAAAAATAAATCACCAAGCTCTTTGAGCACAGGGGTTCTTAAGAGGGAAGTAGAAGGAAGGAATGGGGTGAAAAGACGATCTCCTCTGAAGTGAAGGTCGTTCTTCCAAAAGAGTAGGATTTAGTCTCAGTTTAAGGAGAACACTTTTAAATAGCTCGGACAGCTCCAAACTGCAGTTTAGGGAACGAGTGCTTCAAAAGAACAGTGCTTTAAAAGTCCTGGCAAGGCAGCAAGAGGATGAAGAGTTGGTT